GTTTAAATTAAAAGTCTGGAGTTTTTACACATTATGCTGGTATCGTTGACCTACTTTTATATGTAGTACAACGTACACATGTGGGGAGGAGCTTTCTTTTTCGTTACTTTTCAACGTTTGTGTGCTTCCTATGTGCTCCCTTACATATACTATAAATGCACGATTTCATCATGAAACACACCACTTTTGGTACCCTTGAAATTGTATGTTTCTCCCTATATCTAATAGTCAACCTTCTTCTGTGGGTACCTCCATGTTCAGTGTTCTATTTCTGAGAAAAAGCCGCCTGTAGCCAGAATGACAAATGTGGAGCGATTTGGACAGTAATCATCGACCGGACATGACATGAAATTAACCTGTCTCAAATTAAATGCTTGAAGCGTCTTTGACTTTTACAATTGACCTACTTAAATGTACGTACATATGCGGGCGGGGAATGAGCTTTCGTTTCCGTTACATTTTTCGTTTACATTTTCCGGTACATTGATAAAGCAGTATTGTACATTATGGTCCCCATTGGAGAACCAATGGTTTGGGCAGAATCCAACACCACGTTCATGTACGTCCACTTAACAGTGTTTTCCAGCAATATTTCGACATACAAGAAGACGTCCATGACACAGTAAGAGTTATATGTGGCAGGTATGTAGCACTGTATACACTATGTAGTTGTACATGTACATGATGCCAGGATTTAAACACCAAATTCTAAACATGTACAGTACATGATAAAATCGATTTTCTGTCCATTCTCCTAACGGGATTTAAATTCTTTATTTCGTTTCAGACTCTCATCAAAGATATATTATTATAATTTGTTGACCACCTGACGATCCGCATGAAAAGCGGTTTAAGATGGCCGAATGGGGTAATCTATCTGTAGATATGTATCGAGTATAAATAAAGGCACAAACAATCATGACATTCCTCATATTTCCTTTTATTTCTCCCGGCATCAAACATCCTCTTGCTCTTAGTGCCAAATTACAACAGTGGGACAAACAACTAGTTTATTTCCAAAACACTTATAGATGTCTGCGCATGC